AGTTCACCGGCAGTCGCGCGAGCAAAGTCACGCGAGCAGCCTGTGACATCTCTGTTGTGGTAATCATTCGAAAAAATGTCCCAAAGGCAAGGCCGGGCCTCATATTCGTCTATTAGACGTAATATCAGGTCATTACTCCATCTCGCCGTTGAACGTTTAGTGAAACGCTGTTTTGCGGCGGTGTCCGGCTTCGAATTCCTGCGAGTTGACGCTTTCTCCAGATTCTTGGTTTTCAATATTTTCTTTCTCATTATTATTATCTTGGGTATAAAAACGAATTTGTGAAGCTAAAGCTGAGCCTCGCAAGGAGCTTTTGGCGACCATTTTAAACGAGTCCGTCGATTTTCGGGGAAAACAGCTGACCAAAAACTATCATGAACTATCATACGCGTGGTCAAACGAGAAAAACTATCATCGACTATCATGAAGAATTTGAACAAGCTCAAAATGAATGATAGTTGGTGATATTCGATGATAGTGCATGATAGTTGGTGGTCAAACGAAAGCGCGCGCTTCAACTAACATCGACTATCATCAACTATCATCGACTATAATGCGCCGTTTGACCAGGGCTTAAGCTGTTCAAATTCTTCATGATAGTCGATGATAGTTTTTCTCGTTTGACCCAGCGTATGATAGTTCATGATAGTTTTTGGTCAGCTGGTTTTTGGCGGGCTCGTTTAAAATGGCCGCCAAAAGCTTCTCGCGAGGCTCAGCTTCAGAAACTCGTTTTTATACCCAAGATATTCATAATGAGAAAGAAAATATTGAAAACCAAGAATCTGGAGAAAGCGTCAACTCGAAGGAATTCGAAGAGACACCGCCGAAAAAACAGCGTTTCACTAAACGTTCAACGGCGAGATGGAGTAATGACCTGATATTACGTCTAATAGACGAATATGAGGCCCAGCCCTGCCTTTGGGACATTTTTTCCAAGGATTACCACAACAGAGATGTCACAGGCTGCTCGCGTGACTTTGCTCGTGCGACTGCCGGGGAACTATCATCATCCATCACGAACTTTTTTGGCCGTTTGACCATGCGAATGATAGTTGGAGATAGTTGATGATAGTATGAAGAGAATCAACTATCATCGACTATCATGCGCCGTTTGACCAAGGCTTTAAGAACGACCGGTTCCTGAAACTCCCAAATAGGTGAGAGTGCTTTGTTTGATAGCCTTTATCTTCAAACCTTTATTGGGGAGGAGATAATAAAATATCTGAACAACGAAAGATAAAACAACAAAGAGAGCCCAACGGCCAACAAGCAAAAGCAAAACAAAACAAAACCCGCAAAAGGAAAAGGTTAATTAAGTAAAATAAATCACATCAACAGCGTAACAGAAAACGAAAAGCAAGAACAGGACACAAACCAGAGGGAACCATGAAAAACGGAAACAAAAACAAATAAGAATGAAAAGCAATTTAAAAAAGTCATTGTGAAGAACAGTTCAAGATTTCACTAGCGACGGAACACGTAACTAATTCCAGTGGCTCATTAACCCGCTGTTGCCCGCGGAGTAATGATTCTGTGGCAAAGACCGTTCTCTAGAGAGCGGCTGCAGGAAATCGGGCCTAACTTCCCCCATTCACTATCGAATCTCCCTAATACGGAAACAGAAAGGGAAAGCGAAGAGTCTGTTTTAGCTTTTGACTTAGTTTTATTTGTTTTATTTTCGCGTTTATATCTAGTACACAAAATATTCTTTTGATCTGTAGGTAGCGGATGCTAATCGATGCGGGTCTATTTTCTACTTCAGTGAATTAACTTTAACTTAATGTAATTTTATTGGAAATAATACAGAAATGAAGAAATAATACATCGAAAGACATTAAAAGATACAAAAAGTAAGACTTAAAGATTGTAAAAGAAAAAATTCTTTGAGTTTCCAAGGGTACTACAAATATTGTAGAACTGTTTCAAGTTGTTTTAGTTTTGCAGTGTTTGCATTTTAGCATTAACTCATCAGGCTCAGTAAAAAGATCTTCAATCTTTAGAATATTGAGAAGAGCTTCTTTTAGTTGTTTTTAAAGGATTTATATTCATTAGGTATTACATTCCAGATTTTTCCGGACACCAACACACCAAAAGGGTTTTTGCAGAGTTTGACTATAGGTCGTGGGTCGTGGGTCGTGAGTGTGGGTAAAAGTCGTGGGTGTGGGTAATACAGATTAATTAATGGTTAAGAGCTCATATAATAGCACCACTACTAATAATAAATTACTGTTATTTTTGTAGGGGAAAAGGGTTTTTTCGTGATCGCGAAGGACCCTTTGGCTGGTTTTTTCTCTCGTTAAACGTGATTTGGTTATATTGCCGTGAACGTTGAATCGCCTTTTCTTCATGGAAATTGCGAAATGACTGGCTTTTTTCACGAAACGTGACTTGAACCGTTGTTATTCTTCTTTTCCAGAAATTTATCCTGTAAGCGTGTCAAAACAAGACGTGAAACATGACTGTCATTAGCTACCGTGAAGTAATGCAATACTTCTCGACGAACAATAAAACGTATGTTTCTCGAGTACGTCACATTTCCGGCAACTCTGCCCAGTCTGGTCTTTGTCAGATAAGAAATGAATCGTTTAAAAATTGAAACTATTAGAATATTTATTAATTTACTTATTTCAATAATTCTTCATATGTAGTTTATTTTATGATTTAGAAAACGACCTGGCTAGTTAAATGGAAGAAGAAAAATTTTAAGATTGTACTTGGTTCTTCGTTTAATTTCTTGTCACAGATGCTAGTTGTCGTGACCGATTTAACATTGGCTTGCGATTTCCGGTTGTCGATTATATACTGCACACTGGATACCAGAGGTTTTATGTTTACGAGCCTTACAAAAACCTTGGAGCCAATACATCCAGACCTGCAACTAACGTTGCAACGTTGCTATCTATATATCGGCTAATCTTGCAACAGTTCGCTGTTTCACTTAATTTTTTTTCTTAGTTGCGGGGTAGATGGTACGCCATACAGAGATGACAATTGATGAAGCATTCGGTTCTTTGTCTGCATGCCATTGATCAACACAAGCTTTATTTTCCCTAATCAGCAGAGGGATATATTGTTACTTTTATTTTTGAAACCTCATTTATTTTTAACCGGCATCGGAGAGCACAATTTAATTTTAATTCAAAAACACGGCCAATAGCCGTGTTTCTGATCCTCGTTTTATATCGAAGCTTCTTTCATGTTCTGAAAACGTTGCTTTTGTGTGTTGATCAAGCGTTTGACCAGAACGAAACTCCTCAAACTCTTTGGAATGACCCTCATTTTAAGAGATTACATCATCCTGCAAATAAGGGCTTTGTCTTTGGTTTCATTTTTCTTTTTGGGTGAAACTAATTAATTCTGTTGGATGAAATCAGTGAAATATTTGGCTCACTAAACCGAGCTGATACAATGATAAGGGTTGCGTAATATTTATGTTTTATTATAACAATTAATATTTTGAATGATTATTGTTATTATTTTGTATTAATCACACCCACGACTTTTACCCCCTCCCACACCCACGATCCACGACTTGTACCCACGACCCACGATCCACGACCATTAGTCAAACTCGTTTTTGCATTTTAAGCTTAGAGTATTTAACACCAAGGAATTGTTGGGACGTTAATAAGAAAGTAGTGAAGTATTGGTGTTTGACGTTCTCGCAAAAAAAGTCTCATGGATGTTAGAAGATGCACTGCCGTTATGAAATAGTACGTTAATTTACTTACAGCTTCACACAGCTCTGGAGAGAGGTATCCGTTTTACAGGGATCATCACGATGACGTCCCTTACGGACTTGAATTTATCAACTGAGTTGATAATGTAAATTTGCCACCGTAAGGGTTAAAAGCTGACGTTTCGAGCGTCAGCCCTTCGTCAGAGCGAATTGAGGAATTGTGGGTTGTGTGTGTTTGTATGCAGAAAGTGGAGCTGGGCTATTAGTGGGAACATGTTGACGAGAAAAACAAGAATTAATTAGTAGAATGAAAAGTGTTAGTTGATACCTATGGGATTAAGAGTGCCGATTTGAAAGACAAACTTTTCTTCAAGAAACGTCAGCTTTAACCCTTTACGGTGGCCAATTTACATTATCAGTCTTGGTTAATAAAACCAAATACCCCGTTATCCCCACCGACGCAGCACCACAGTTTCTTTTATTAAGAGAGGTTAAGGATTAAAGTTGTCACGCATTCTTCGTTCGTTCAAGATTTTGATAAGTTATTAGAAATGGCGATGGTTGTCAATAACATGATGGAGCGGCTTCCTGATAGCTTTTGGTCTTGCTTGGTATGTGCAGCATCCGTTTTGTCTATTCTGATCGCAACTGGCGGTCCATACTCTTTTGGATTACTTCTGCCACCATTAATGGATCAATTTAACACAACAAGGCAAGAAACGGGTAAGAGAATCATTATTAATCTTCCGATTGTGGTACCGAGACAGTGACAGACCGATTAAAGCTTGAGAGAGATTGAGCCCATAAGGATCTGAATGTATTGGAATCTACTATATAATTGATCATGAATTTAGCAATAGGTAAATAAGGTAAGATTTCGAATTAAATCATATTAAAATATTGTTTCCCTTTTCGATGTTTACTATGATTGCAAATGCAAATTCTGGGATATGAATGAAAGTCTCATTTTCCTTGTTCCCAGCAGTGACCCTTCGCTTAGTTTTGCATACCCACTGGTATTTGCCAAATGGTTGTTACATTTCGCACAGGCCAGTTTCCGGCAGTTCTGAGCATTACTGTTCGGGGGTAAAAATAATATTTTGTTAAAAAGGACATTTTTCTTCCGTTACTAAAAGATTTCGAACTTCAATGATTACGTAATAACAGTTATTCAGCTACAACAATTCGTCAAAAAAGAAACGACAATTTTAATTTTGCAAAACATATGCATGATTCAACATCGTTTAAGTTAACCCAGGAAAAGTGCTTGTAAATATGCGAAACCCAAGCGTTATCTGACGTTGTAGTTCGATATCTTATTTGTAAAAGTTTGATTCCCACTCAGCGGGTGAAATGAGGATGAAATGAGCCCCGTCGAAACATGTTTTGCAGACTTAGAAACGTTTTTTCTTTTATAGGAGTAAAGATATGAAATTATCTGCTTAATATTGACCCCTTCGCAACTTTTGGGGTTATTTATGAGTCATTTTCTTATTTCCAGATGTATTTTAGGTGTTTTGGAAATTTGTTATTTAATATACCATTATGGTATCATGTTCGAATTCAAGTCAGTGAAAAAGCCTTTGTTAGAATTCGAAGTCACCTTGGCTGAAATCATGCAATCTTTTCATCACCTCATATGCCGAAACGACGAAAACAAAAAAAAAAAAAAACAGTCTCAGACTAATTCAATTTCAGAAACAAGGTCAGTTTAATTTGCCCTAAACGTGATCTGAGGTTTTTTTGAAGATATGTAAGTCTGCCATACCCACCCCACCCCACTCCTTTGCCTCTATCCCTGTGTAATTTCAGAGTGTTTTCTACTTTTTCTCAAGCATGGGTTGGATCCTTGAACACGGCCTGTGGCTACTTTCTTAACCCACTCAGTGTCCATGTTACAGATCGATTTGGCTTCCGAGTTACCGCCATTCTGGGATCAGTGTCGAGCTTAATAGGCCTGGGCCTGGCTTCTTTCTCTCCTCAGCTATGGATGATGTACCCAACGTATGGTTTTCTGACGGGATTTGGATGAACAACGATCTACAGTGCATCGATACTGGTTGTTATAAAGTATTTTGTGAAATGGCGTTCTGTGGCCGTTGGACTCGTTGCATCGGCAACATCGGTTGCCGTGTTTGCCATAACGCAAATTGTTCAAGCGCTGCTGAGTGACTTTGGCTGGAGATGGGCCATGCGAGGAATGGCCGGTCTGTTTCTGATGTGTGGTTTGTGTTCAGTCGTTTATTTACCGATCAACAAGGCAAAGGAGAGTCATGAACAAAATCTGGATAACATTGGGACAGTCAAGAAGAAGGAGTTTGAACTACATGTACTCAAGAACCGCAAATTTTTAGTATTTTGCACGGCGAATACACTTGTTATGTTTGGTTACTACACTCCGGTTATACACATCGTAAGTAATCTTTTCCTTTTTTTGCATCTTTATTTTCTTCCTTCAACATAAATCATCGTCTTCCCCTCTTTCTGAGGATAATTCTTTTGGGGCCCTTTGGGGACGAATGTTACCCTAAAAAATAGTTAAGAGCTATTAAAGTTTCGAATTTGTTCCTATATCCACGGGTTATCGTTGTGAGCAACCAACGTCTGTGCATCAGTGACCGCTGTACGAGTCGTGTGAAGTGTTGCCATGTGATAAATATCACCAAAACAAACGCAAAGGCAGGAATATAGCGGCTGTGACGAAACATTTGAAATAATCTCAGTAAAAAGGGATAGTTTTACACAATCATAAGTAGTTGTCCAGCTGAAGTTATTTAGTGTTTTCCTCAGATGTTTAATAAAGATCTTTCGTGTTTCGCGCTAGATTCTAGGAAGACAGTACTTTCTACCCTCTCAACACAGTCAGGCGGACAAAATTCCCCGCTGAAACTTAGTTGCCGGAAGTCTCAACGAGGTTATGAATTTCTCCTAAAGTTATTTTCAAGAATGTCACCATTATGTCACGCTGGGTTCATAGTGGATTTTCTTTTTAGTGATAGCATCTCGCGAGAGTGATTCAGAGAGGAAAATCGTCATTTTTCCGCAAAGCGAGAGTGATGACCTGTCAAATGTTGAAGAGCATTGTCAGTAAATAATTACTTATCAGTTCTTCAAAGTCGGCATATCTTAAATCTCCTCGAGAGGAGAGAAAAATGACATTGTATAACCCACCATCATTAATATTTGCAGATCAAACATTGTCAACAAGAACTCAAAATACCTGAACAGCAATCCTATATACTCTTTACTTACCTCGCTGGAGCGTCCGTTATCAGTCGCCTTGTGTTCTGCAAGTTGGGAGACTTTCAATGTGTCAACCGTCTCTTTCTTTATCAAGTCTCCGTGGTGATATATGGGATATGTGTGTTATTGTTACCATTTGTCAAAACGTTTAACTCATTGGTGGTTATACATGTTGTTTTTGGGCTAATGGATGGGGGTGCAATGGGTCAGTTCTCTCTTCTTATCCTGGGCTGCGTCGGTCAAAGAAAAGTGAACCAAGGCTGCGGTTACGCCATGTTCAGCATAGGTTTTGGAGTTGGCACTGGACCTCCACTTGCAGGTAAAAATTATTTTACAATCAGTCTTATCGTATTTTATCATCTTATCATGAGAAACTAATTAAGACGTTTTCTGTGTCATCATAGGGTCAATTAAATAATTGGAGGCTTTGAGATTTCTCGACGTTTATGCAAACCCCGCTCCTTCAGTTAAAGATTCGCATTAGGGACCGGTTATTATTAGTGTTGTAGAGTTTTTTAAAGGATTGCTATTTTGAGTATTTAGGTTTTCCTCTTGTTTTGTTGAGTCTCGCTTTTTGCGTCGACGTGTTGTTTTTATAGTTCTTTTGCCTTGACCTTGTTTCTAGTATCTGCTTGAACTTTTCTTAGTCCACAGATTTTTCTTGTTACCTTGTTAGACCTAATATTCGCTTGTTGTGGTTGGAAATGGCTAGTTTTATAGGTGGTCGTGTTTGTGAGGTAAAGTTGACCTTGAGTTTTACTCGCACTGAAGGATCCTGTTTGTGCGCGGAATTCTCGTGCGCAGCTCGATCATTGACGTTTAATTGGTTCCTTGGTGCTCGCCAAGTGCATCGGAGCGAGCCACCCAATTTCCCCCTTTGCAAAACAACGAATAAACTATGGAAACTCCCACGGTCAGCTAACCCAAACATGTCTGTGATTCTTGCATTTAATACGTGGGCAGTCCTTGCTAAAAGTAGAAGAAAAATAGCAGCAGCAGTAGAAGAAGAAGAGATCTGAAACGTTGTAGTGGGAAGGAATAAAAAGAGAGATAAAAGCCAAGCAAGTGGGGAAACTCCCACGGTCAGCTAACCCAAACATGTCTGTGATTTTTGCATTTAATACGTGGGCACTCCTTGCTAAAAGTAGAAGAAAAATAGCAGCAGCAGTAGCAGCAGCAGTAGAAGAAGAAGAGATCTGAAACGTTGTAGTGGGAAGGAATAAAAAGAGAGAAGAGTCCAGAGCCTCAGTACTTCTTGTTAAAAGCCAAGCAAGTGGTAAAACCCCAACAGTAGGATGGGGGGTGAGGGAGGAAATGAATTTTATGGTAACAAAATAACTCAAGTCTATACCGACTCACCAAACTTCCTTCAACTTGAAGGAAAGCACTAAATAAACGTGATTAATTTCAGAGTAGTTTGCTTGCATTGTCTTTTTTGCTAGAGAACATTGCCGGAAAAGGCGCATTCAATTTACCTTGCAAATTTCATGAATAGGCGAATTAGGAGTGGAGCAATTTAAATTAAGTGTCGAAAATAATTCGGAATTCCATTGGTTTTTCTTTATCTCGATATGAGATTGGTCCAGGAAATTCGCGCCACTTCAGTTAACCAATCAAATTCAAAACAGTAAACCAATCACGACTTTGGTCACTCGCGTTTTAATTTCCCGCGCTCTATGTAGTTTTCTTGTGTTGTTTCTTCGGGTTTTCATTAGCGACCTTAATCAAACCACGACGGCGACGGCAACGAGGACGTGGAAAAACAAAAGATCTAATTGGCAGAACAATAGTTCAGCACGTGCGTTTTAAAACTTAGTACATTTCTTGGCCGTCCTTTGCAAAACAACAACGTGAAATCCGCAAAATTTGCGTCGTCTGTGAATAGAAACCGCGACGGCAACTTATTTTAATTTCCATTTGGAACTCAACGCTACTTTTATACGTAATGTTGAGGTTGAGTTGTGGAGCCGTTTGAGACGGCAAACACATACAGCCATTTTCGAAATTTCAATTAAAAACAGAAATTTATTTTTTAATCGACGTCTTCCTTGGCGTTGCCGTCCTGACTGCTTAAGGTCCCTATTGGCTCCTCGGGATGATTTCCTTGCCGTGATTGGCTGTTGTGATTGGTTTAGTTTTAGGTTTACGACACTCAGTCTCACTAACATGGCAATAATTTATGATCTCATCTGGCTAACTTTTTGCTTCGATGCTGAATCCTTACTTCGATTCACTATTTACGTCTTTTGTGAAACAGGTTATGTGGCGGACGAGAGTGGTTCCTACGCAATGGCCTTTTATTTATCAGGAGTAGTGCTTATAGTTGGAGCTGCTATCACACTGCTGATGAAGTTTGTAAAGCAACCAGCAGTAACCGAAGACCTTGAAGAGGTTAAAGTTCAAGAAATAGGACTTTTAATTGTAGAGAAAGTGACCGTTCTTTAATTCGGCTCAGAGAATAGATATGGTCTTGCCTGGTCAATTAACTCAGATTTCTCTCTCCTGGCCAGCTGTTAGGTACATTCTGTGATTGTCGCGTCAAAAGCAGGATTTAGAAATTTAAATAAACGAATGTTAACTAAGTCAAAATTCAATTGTCTGAAAAGCTGCCTCGGAAAGCGTGGCTCGTTTGATGTTTTTCCAATTCTAACAGTTCTAGAATCTGATCAGGACGAAAGTCTTCAACATGTTTTATTCAATAAAGAGTTCGACCAGTTTTCACGACCTCAAGAAACTAGTAGCGAATTATTTAGCCGTACAATTTTTAGCTTTGGAAAATCATTTGTCAGTTTCGCACGGTCCACTGGAGACTTTAGCTGAAGAACTGAGTACATCTCAGTTAATTGACATAATTTAAAAGTCTAGAAAATTGATCAAAAGAGCTTTTTATTTTTACAACGGTTGCATTACTGAAATCAGCCAGAGATTTGTCTTCAAATAACAGTCCGATTGAAGAATATATAGACTAGTACTTTATTCTCATATTCGACGGTAGAAGAGTCCATCCATGCAAAATGATAGCCTTTACCAAAAGCATTCAAATAAAAGGAGAAAATCATTAAAGGGAGTATTTTTTACAGATAGAAAGAATAAAAATACCTCGAAGACTTGCTACAGACACGAACATCAACTTCATCTGTTCAAATCAAAATAAATAAATGAAACAAACATTTTGGCTTTTCAATAGCTCTGATAGCAAAATAAAAAGTACCTATTTCCCTTTGTCACCTCGTAAACAAGCCGGGTTGTATAGCTACTCAAACCGGTAACAGAAAAAATATTTTTAAAGACAAAAATGAACTTTAAAGAATAAATTTTACTCCACGTTCTAACATGCTGAGCATATTTCAAATGCATATAGCTACTGTTGAGTCAACTCAAACAAGGCCATCATTTTACAAATGCTCCCACCGGTGATTGGATTTTTCGTTTCTTTTCTCTTTGCAGAAATAAAATGTAAATAACGGCCCTCGAGTAAATATCTTATGTCAACAACTACCTTTTCATCTGCTGATATCGAGTTTATCCCCTCACTGACGATGGTCCGAGTCGTCTAGCAATTCTATCATAGCATCCCGTCTTAATTAAATCAAGTTCTTGAGATGTCAACACATTAGTGAATTAGTGCATTTTAGCGCCGATTCAGCTGAGCGGTCCATGATCTTCAACCTTACTACAGGTCTCGAACAAAAAAACTCCGCCTGGTTTTATATTTTTCAATAGCTGGGATCAATGAATCTGAAGGTTATTTTAACAGGTGGAGCACGCTCGCTAATTGATTCGAACAGAACTTAACAGGTGTAACATCGTTTCGCAACTGGTGGCGGGAATTCTAATCACGTGACCAAAGGTCGAACTGGTATTGTTTTTGGACATGAATAAGAGATAAGATTCAGCTATCTAGCTTCTTGGTGTTTTTGTTCTTTTGGGGCCCGTCCCGCTCTTTACACAATTCATTTAGATTAATTGAGAACGTTAGCTAAGGAAGAAAGGTTGGAATCTCGCGTGAAAGTGGTGCCATGGAGATCTAATCGTTGCAAGATTGAAGCAAGAATTTTAACTGATAATGCCAAGACAAGAGCGACCACTTCGGTGAATTCTAGTTCTTGCTTGTCCCTTTCGTTTGTGTATTTTGGCCTTAAACCAAGACTCTATCATAGTTAGGTAAGTACCTCCGTTTTTTCATGCTTAAATTCGACAAAAAAATTATGGAATGGCATAAGCTCTTAAAAATACAGTTTTAAAGTTTTTTTGAAATGCGCTTTTACTTGAAAGGCGCACATATAACTAGGCGTTATTTTGTCAGACGATAAAGTTGGTTTTGACAGGTGAACTTTATTCAGATATTGAAACCTCTATAGAATTCTTTAAACAGTCTGAGTTGTTTCTATTAGATTAAAAGTATCTTAATGAACGTGATGAATGATCAGAATTAGATATAGATGCAAAGGGTAGCATCAGTGTGATTAGAAAGTTAACTTCCGTGATCTAAGGGTTGAAGTTTTCCACCTAACACAGCAGGGGAGAGAGGGTTTAAATATTTCTTCGCGCTTCTTTTTTTATGTAAACGTATATTACTCGTTAACAAAGGGATTATTATGTTCTTAAACATTTAGTATGATACTTTTTTCTCAAAAGCTGGTTTCATAATCAAATGCTTCTCCATGGTTACATATGACATCGAGAACTGAACAAGAATATTTCTGCCTTTTGGATAAATTAAAACAATCTTGTAACATGATACTTCAACGTTGGAATCGAGAGATAAATTTTACAAGAACACAGCTTCTGAAGGAGATTTCTGAATAGATTTCTAACTACGTTGTATCTTCTCGTAGACTCACAAATACTATACCATTTGATAAATGATGACTAGTAACTCAGACTTTTTTTTCTTAGTACTTTTAGAAACAAAGCGTGACCGACGCAAATCTCGAAAACCAAATGAGACTTTTTGCGTTAGGACTATTTCTCTTATTGACCTGGGTAACAGAATCGTCAGGAAGTAAGTATGGTATCTAACGCTTCCAAGCTATAAAATAGAAATGTTTCATTTTGTTTACAAAATATGCTTTATTCCATTGATGGTCGCACTCTTGTTGGCTTTCTGACCAAGTTAATACGGGTCTAGCGTAGTTTTTTAACAGAAATTTTTATGCTCCCAGAATTTCAAAACGCTGTCTTAAAAATTTAAAAGGAAGATGCTTAAAATAAAGGAATAAAAAAGTTTGGACCAATGGTAGAAATATCTTTGTAATGCATAACTAATTTAGTCTTACTAATTAATTTACGACAGCCCTAAATTTGACCAGTGCTGTCGCTAGTTAGAGTGGAAATTTCATGTATCTCTAAACTAAAAATATATATATATTCTTTTAATTCATCAACCAACTGATTTGTTTTATGCGATCAAAAAATATAAGACGCGTTTTGAGGACAATCAAAAAGAGTTTTAAGATAGACTTTTAGAGTTTCCCATCCTTCTGAGAGATTAGACACAACTTTTAGAGTTTGTATTGAGACTTAAACGCTTCGTCAGGACCCTTCTTGGTGATGAATTTCTCATTCCTAACACTCATTACATTCAAAGTGTAACATTATATAGGGGAAATGATTATCATTTTCTATTTCTTGTTTAGATAAAAGAGCCCATCATAGTTCCCATTCTCGTACCCATGTGCGTCGTTCAGTACATGAGGACCATGGTAAAACCAAAGATTCTTCCAAACGCCTATACGAGATGTTGGTGAGAAGGAACATACTGACAAGACGAAGAAGAGAACTCATGACAGGTCCACGTAAGTAAAACAGACCGAAGCTCAAGTCACGGAACGATTCCTCACTCACGCGTACGCCTTACAAGGAGCTTTCAAAGTTGATCTCTTTTTCTTTTTTTGTTTGAATTAAAAAGTGACGTTTAAAGCGTTTCCAAACGGAAAAAATGAGATCTGATTTTTTTCCTCGACTATTTTCATGAATTGAGATAAGAGCGATTATCTTATCCACTGAAAATAGATGACACGCTAATTTACGGCGTAATTCGTGTATTCCAAGAAATGGATCACATGTTGAGGCTGTGTTATGAGCGTCAAAAAGATAAAAAAGAGGACCTTTCGATGTATCAACATAGTGATTAGAGATAACTAAAAACTAGACAGTCCAATAGCCCTTTCCAAATCAGGTTTGTAGGCTATCCATCTTCCCCTTGGTCCCAGCCCTCGTGCATCCAGAGTTCCAAATTAATGTCAAAATAAAATGCAGGCTCCGTTTGTTCGAAGGGTGAATAACACTATCGGCTGGATATCCTTGATGCTTATCCGCTGAATAACGATTTATCCGTTAAACAGCGTTATCCGACCTTTGAACAACTGAACCCAACACTTCATAAAATACGTATGATGCACGATCCTTGCAGTAGCTAGCGCTATTTATGCAATAGCGAAAATCAGACCTGAAAAAAAATCAGGCCTGTACGGAACTCGAACCACTGACCTCTGCGATACTAGTGCAGCGCTCTACCAATTGAGCTAACAAGCCAACTGGGAGCAGGCCGTTAAGTTG